AGATCACCGTTGCCCAAGAGGAAAATTTGGCTATTTTCACGCCTATCTGGTCAAAATGGTCCTGCCATGTGTTTTGTTGTAAATTTGGTATTTGTAATCTGCACTGAAGGTAATCCCTCCAAATGAATTTTCCGCAAAATCTGTGATTTTGATACACCCATAGTGCATTTTGACCTACGGACCTAAATAACCAAAGTAAGTACAGTATTAGCGGGAATAAAACCCCAAAAATCCAAACAGTAATTGTAGGAGTGATACTCTTTAGTTCTTTGTAACTTTCAATGCCATGATTCGAATTCAAGGGTCAAGATCTAATTTTCTAACTCATGCCAAAACTACTCCTTATTGAAATACTACGAGCTTGAAAATAATCGCAAGCTTTTCCGACAATTAATGAATTAGCTTACTATTGACTAGCCTATTGATTATCTATTGATAATTGCACACATCAACAAAAATCAATCAATACCATAGCAGGCGCGCAAATAACACATGAACATGGTAGGTTGATGTTTTGATTGCCATCATTATCTTCTTAAGAGTTGCTCTTTTATTTGTGACTACAACCTTAAGAGCGCAAAAAAGGAGAAAATGGGAAGTACTTTTGTGCATAAGCCAGAAACATCCACAAGCCATTTGAAAGTATAGCATTATTTCTACCAAACTCAAGAAAATCACATTGTTGTGAATGAACCATTTGAAACGAATTTTTCGAAAAGTTAACTTTGAGGTCACATGTTTCCACTTTTTCCACGACAACAGTACATTAAATGTTGCAACCCACCTCCGGCAGATCGTCTGAGCCTTCTCCACATGTGGACGGTTGCTGAAGAGCAGCCAACGCTCTTTTAGTTGCATGGTACCTCTTATAAACCTTAAGCGAACTTTAGAAATCGACTTTCAAAATTATTCTCTAGGCGCAAGCAGTTACAAACGGCACTTACTTTGCCAGTGTTTTTCTGATGCGCAACGAATTGTTGGTTTGAGATAGGTGGAATGAGGTTTGATCGAGGTATAGTAGTGGGAGGCACAAATGAATCGCCCCAATGTCGGGTGAAGAACGTATTCACTTCGGAGCGAGACCGGCCTGGATCGGAGAGCACCGCAGAGAGGTTCTGCGTAAAGCTAAAAAAGAATTCAGCTGGATTTCTGTGGTGCCTATGTTGATGTCCCATGAATTAGTAACGGAAGACAGCGGTTTGTCAACGCTCAAAAAGCTCTCAGGGAGGAGTAGAGATTGGATAGTGATGGAATACTAGAAGAAGTTGGAAAGGGCAACAATTGGCCGAATGTTACTGACATTTGTAGCAAAAAACCAGCAATTCGGCAAACAATACTTCTGCAAAACAAGCAAAAGACTTCAAATTTGGAAAAGCCACCTGTCTGGAAGAGATACCTAATTATTCGAAAAGCAATGCGAGTAATTTGCGTGAGTAATGGTGAACATTACCAGCCCGAAAGTTACACCAATACAGCATTAAATTTATTGTGAGAAACTGTTATTCGAAAATTTACAACTTCTTGCAAGAAAAAAAACAGATATATCGAAAGGAATCGCTCTGTACTAATCATTTTAGCGCATTGCTTGCTGATTTTGAGCTGTGCTTAAAGTCTGCTCATCAAAGAAAAAGGATAATAAACTAAACATCAAGATGCTGCGGAAATGATCATCTACTTCGCCCTGCTCGTGTCTGGGAAAAAACGTTACGGATCCAGCTATCTTTCGCATCCTAATGAATCACACTTGGGCAGCATTATTCCGCACAATGATTGACTATGCGCGAAATTCAAGAGTCTGGAAGACAACCTGTTCAATTTCTGGAATAAACTATACGATTAATGACAAATTTAGTCAACAATATTGAACTGCAACAAAGATACGAATACAATACGAACAGCACTTAAAAACAAACTCAAACAAACGCTTTGTAAGAGGCTGTAGTCAGAAGTATTCATTCATTCAAAATGCTCCAAGGCGATTTAGAAACATTAGAAAATTGCTCAGCTCCAGATCTATGGAAGTTAGGGAAAATGGACAAATTCTCGTCTTCTCCCAAATAGTGCTATTGATCGAGCGAAAAAGAAAATTCTGAATAGGATCGATTAGGAGAAAAATTCACTGAGGCCAGCTGCTAAACAGATCGAGAAATCTTTTGAACTTGTAAAAGAAGGAACATGTGGGTCATTGTCTGAAAACATTCCCAGCCAGTTCCCTACCCAAAAACCAAAAACTGAAACCAATGGTCGGAGAAACAGAGTAAAGGGAGGGCCTTCTTGGCAGTCAAGGCTAAACTATTCAAACACTTCACTTTCTCCTACTGAACAAAACATATAGGCGCCTCAAGCGAGCCGTAGACAGTCATTACAGTATGGTGCAGCGTACTGGAAGGTGAGCCGCATGTTGTTCATCATCTTGGCTCACTTTTTAACTCCGCTGAATTTTACTTTTGAGCCTTGTTCGCGTC